ATGGTCGATCAATTTCGTATTCAATTAATTTAATTTATAATATTTTCATAGCCGTGTGATCCCGGCATAGACCACCCTTTCCTTTCCCGTGGATGTCTTAAGAGACGATTAAGGGAACTTAACGGGAGAGGGATGGGCAGCAGTGTCCTTCTTAAAACGTCTGTAAAAGCCTAACTGCGGTTGCAAGCCAAGCGTGGCAACTGCTAGCAAAACTTTTCTTATGGGGAAGGCAGTTCAGCAGTGGATAGTTAACGGCTGATATAATAATAATAATTTTTAGCCGACTACAAAAAAAGGAGGTTCTCAATTCGATTGTACTATATGTTGATGTATTTAGTATAATTAAACAATGGGTTTTAAAGAAAATAACTGTTATAAAGAAAATACAGAAGACAGACTACGACAGTGAAAAAGAACAGTGTGGCAATTATAAAAACAAAAAAGTATAAAAAAATTCGAGAATAACTAAGAAATTGCAACAATATCTATTTATTTATGTTCGTTACCTCAAACTCCTCTATATCTTTCTTCATCCAGAATATTACGAGTATGTCTATTATGATGCCGTAAAAGTACTAAGAAGCGACAAATAAACTTTTATTCATATATATAACATTATGTAAAGATGGAGTGAGAAGCACATTTATAATATTAATAATGATATTAAAACTGAACAAATACACGGAAATATAACTAAAAATATTTTTTGTTTCTCAGTTGACTAGTAAAATGTGATTATCAACTTCGATCGAACAACTTTGCAACTTCAATTATAGGTTTTTGAACAGTTTGTTTTTATGAGAATCCATCCACTGATCTCCGTTTTTAGTCGTCTCTTTTTAACAGACTACTCGCGATTATCATGATGAAAGTAGTTGATTTTGAATTTTGATATCGGTATAAGACAAATTAATTAAATAAAAAATAAAATATTCTTATAAAGAATATATTTAACTGAATTAGGTGCTATTTTTAAGTTCCTATCACTAGTTAATTGATTAAAATTATCTTGTTTAATTCCTCTACCATTAAAATACGTGCGACTGCTAACATTTGAATTTTGTCTACTATCAATAGAGGTTCTACGACTTTCCATACTAGTCATTAATCTTAATTTTATTATCGTAAAAAACTCAAAAACTATGGCGATTGACGAGTGTGCTAGTAGTCACGGAGTTAAAATTTGATCTTCGGGGATTTAAACCAGAAATATTTGTTATTATTTAAATGGCAAATATAATTTTAGAAAAATGTATTAAATAATTGAAACGGTGTAAGGTAGCTGTTTTCACGTAAAATGCGTAAATAAACAAAAGAACAGGTGGGCAAACACCATTTGTTTTATTAACGTAGCTAATGCAGAAGTATCTCAATATTATTTTAGTAGAAATAATAAAAATCTTACTACTACCACAAAATATTACGCATAATCAATTTAGAGTATTCTATACTATCATAAATGTGTAAGTTTGTGAGAATGTTTGTATTGGATGAATGTATGTTTCACGCAAAAACTATTAAATGTATTTGAATGGACGGATAGGTTATATACTAACTTGAAATTAAATTGAATACCTTTATTAATATTATAAATGTGAAATTGAGTTTGTTTGTTGCAACTTGGCGCCTTTACAGTTCAACCATTCGTTATGAAATTTGGTTGGTATATAGGTACAGGGATAGAGAATGATATAGATTACTATTTATCTCAGTTTATCGATATATATCCATAACACGGATGGGGTCATGGATAAAAGCTAGTGTTCAATATTTTCTAAGTACTACTCAGTAGATTGCTGAGCTATAAAAGAGATTGCTAAGTATTATATTCAGGAATGAATTGATTTAACGAGATTGGTAGTGATGATATGGTATATTTCCAATTGACTAAGAGTATAACTAACGAATAAACAGGGTTTTATATACCAAACAACAAATAAAGCATATTATCAACCAGAGGGAGACTTTGTACAAAAGTCGTTTGCTTGGGCACCTCTGTCCCATTCGTGTTACTACTGTGAAGCAGTTGTGTTAGCTTGGCTGTATTTCGGTTTGAAGGACGGGATATGGTAGTGAATTTACAGGGTACAGAGGAATAACACCTGAGGGAGAATAATTGTGGGCCGTCGACTTGTTTGCGTTCTAAGTTGCATAAAAAAATAATCACAGAGAAAATGGCGAGGCCACACATTAACCCAGCACGTACAGTGCTAAATCAATAATTAATAAAATCTGTTTATTTTTCTTACATGCTCGTACGAACATAAGATGTTACTCCATACCTATAATATATAGATATAAATTAATATTGATTATGGTAACATATTAGAAAGTTTTAATTGCTGAACTTTAATATAAAGGTATTCAAAATTTTAAGCAGTTATATAATGACATGAAATTGTTTTTAGGATACTTTGCATCTCCGAGAAACAACAAGAGTATGTTTTTGAGCCGAGTCTTTCATGAAGTTTATATTATTTTAGCTTCCGTTTACATTTCGTTTTACCCTCCAGATGTTATCACAATAACTTTCAATACAGTTTTGAGATGATCCGACTGTTGAATGTAATTATTAAGAATGTTATTGAAGATGTTTTCCTTTTTCCATTCCAAGAACTTATTTAAACAAAATTAAAAAGAGATGATTGTTTACATTTAACCAATGTTATTATCGAGTTAGTGTATGCCCCTACATACATTTCTCGTAACTATCGATAAATATAAATAAATCGAAAATATCGATATGCAACATTTATATCAATTCTCATAAAAATATGTAAGAAGGTTGTTGATATGTTTTTTCCACTTTAATGAAATATATTCTATTTAAATTAATATATATAGAAACATATATGGAAGACATAAACATGGAAGCAGGCACATAATTTATAAACTAATTAGCGGCTCCTGCATGGCTATATATTTATATTTTTTTAAAATGAATTATAATGGAATGGTAATTCCGCCAGCGATATCAGTATGCACTGGCGTGACACAGGTTGAGAGAACACAGGTAAGCATGAAAGCAGGTCAGTTGGCCCATTGTGACGAATTCAACAAGAATTAACCGTAATAGCTTCCAGAAGGAAATCGCATGATGATCGATCTGATGGAGTATATTGCTAGTAATGGAGCTACTAGTCTCCTATGTTAACAATTTCTTCCTTCCTTCGGTTGTGTATTGTAAATATCATAAATAATAAATCTGCAAATAATATCTAAATAAAAGTTAAAGCCAAAAAATAAGTAGAGAAATAGATACATTGTGTTTTGTATTATTTAAAGATGTTTTACAATGTACCAGTCGCCACTTTGATTTCGTAACATAAATTAATGCAATAAAAATGTAAAGAAATATTACTAAGTATATGATTTAATTTAGAAATAAAACCTTTAATTAAACTCATATATAATTTAGATTTGATAATAATTTACACAGGCACTCAATTACTTATGGTGTCGTTTCGATCCCTCCCTAAGGAGTAGGAGTATAATGGAAAAAGCACAGTCCTTATACGATTAAAATTCGAAGATTAGTCGTATAAAATATATTTTTTAGGATATTTAAAAAAAGTGGACCATTAGATGGAATTTTTGTAGGTATGTTACGCTTCAAGTACCTATCTTTATTAAATCTAAACCGATTTTTTTGCAATCTTATAGTGTTTACTTCAGTGTTGGGTCTAAACTGATTTTGATACGATTAAAATTACTATTTTTTTTTTGTGGATATATATCTTAAATTATTATCAGTGTTTGTGATCGCAGGTCGTTGAATCAATATTGATCTAGGTAATGTCATCGGTAAACTAAATATTGGATGTTTGTCAAGAGATTAAAATGATTTGACGAATGGTTTGAATGATTTGATGATGTAACTTTACCGCGAACTAATAAAAATTAATTTTTAATAAAACTTCTATGTGAATACACAATACTAATTTAAGGAAAACTGCAGGACATATCTAGTAGTGTATAGATTAATAAACTCAGAGTGGAAGCCATATTAGTGGCCGGGTGTGCAGCAGACTGGCACACGCTACGTTACGGTAACCAGGTGGTACGAACCAGCTGACTGCTGGGCAGGCAGCTACGCACATGTCGTGGAGTGTGTCAGCCGCGTGCCAATATTATATTATCTATGCCAATATAATACTTATTCCCTAGCGTTTATTATTATTATAAAAAGAGGTTTTAAATTCGACGGTTTTTTGTTGTGTGTATATTATGCAATCTCTCCACCAATTATGTAATATCGATCACGCCTATTTTCATGATCTTTCATACTCATAATGTGCTAGCCCTCAAGCTAGGCTACTGATTTTTACAATGCCCTCTGTTATGAAAAACGAGATAACTGACTTCCGAGTATGCAACTCAGAATACCAAGCCCTGAAGCAATTTAGACAAGTTAGTTCCTTCAATTAGTCAGACTGAGAACTGAACTCTTGACCTCATTCACGCAAAACAATACTTTCTTTAATTTACCTGTATGATGTTGTACAAATAAACAAATAATCTATTTTAGTTGCGTTTAATTAATTACTGTTTGTAAATCTTGAGTTTTATTTTGTGTAAAATCTATTTTAAAATGTCAATTATGATTTGCATTCATTCATTCATAAAAATTTTTGAATGAAATTGTCGTATTCATTGTACTACATCCTGTGTTATTGTTGCAGTATACCTGTCTACCTTTTTGGCCTACTATTTATAATTAGTCCTGTACCTGAGACGCCTTGTTCCGACGTGATGGCAACAAAAAGATATTATGCATTGTATTAAAAACGAAGCGGTTTGCGTGCCGCAGCCGAGCGCGCTTCGTATTGTTGCTCCTCAAGCCGGTATTGAAACTATCGCTTCACTGTTGTCGGTTCAGGTATTTATGAATGAACGTGACGGTTTAGTGAGTGGGATGTTAGACCGCGGTCACAGCCAGGTAGAAAATTACACTTTTGGAATTCTTTCAACAGTTCGCTTCGAGTAGGGCTACTCAACTCGTCACCCGATGGGAAGCCGCAAAGCGGGGCGAGGGGCGCCGCTAGCGCGCATGTGTCGAGCTCTTTCCACTGAGACGATCCGAATCCCTCCCTCTCAGTTAATTTACAGCCGTCGCGAGTGCTTACCGTGCCGACATGTACCGCTCGCCAACTTTCTCGATTAGTGATGTGATACGATATCGAAATGTAGATGCGACGCATGACTAAAATTTATTAGTTTTGACTTTTTGGATTAAATGCTAAAAAGTGACATATTAAATGTGGAACGTTGACTAACGGATATGTTATAGTGAAAGTAATCAGAACGTAAGTTGGATTGGAATCAAAATGAAGTGGTTTATAGTGACAATGAGTGTGATGGTGTGGGAAACAACTTTAGCTGGTATAGCGCCAGCTGGATCTTGCCCTGCAGTGTGTATGTGTAAATGGAAAGGAGGCAAACAGACAGTTGAGTGTGTGGGTCGAGCTCTTATCACAGTGCCAGAACCCGTTGACCCTGCTACTCAAGTTCTCGACTTATCAGGGAATAATTTACAAATTCTTCCCCAGGAAGCCTTTGCTAGAACGGGGCTTGTTAATTTACAACGTGTATATCTCCGTAACTGTAATATAGGCCAAATACATGACCGAGCATTTAAAGGTCTTACAAATTTGGTGGAGTTAGATCTCTCTCACAATTTACTTACACAAATACCATCAAACAGTTTTAAAGACGCCCCTTTTCTCAGAGATTTGACTATGGCTCAAAATCCAATTCTTAAAGTACATTCGGATGCTCTTAGTAATCTTGGCAGCGTAGTGAAACTTGATTTGTCTAAATGTGACATTAGAGATATAGCGGCAGACTCATTTAGTAATTTACGGTCATTAGAGTCATTAAAGTTAAATCATAATAAGCTTCGCGATTTACCTCTGAGTTCGTTGGAGCGAGTAGAGAAACTGAGAGCTATAGATTTATCTGATAATCCTTGGACTTGTGATTGTCGATTACGAGAGCTTAAAATGTGGCTGACTAAACATAAGCTACTATCGACGCCGACTTGTTCAGGTCCGACACGGTTAGCAAATCGACCGTTTTCGGAATTACCAATAGAAGAGTTCGCTTGTAAACCTGAAATATTACCGATAAGCCGTCATATTGAGACCGAAGTTGGAGAAAATGCCACAATTACATGTAAAACAGAAGCTATACCGAGCGCTAACATTAACTGGTATTGGAATGGGCGATTACTTCAGAATGGAAGCCATTTTAATTCACATCAAAAAGTTTATATATTTGAAGAAGGAGACTCAAGAAAAAGATCATCTTTGGTGCTTACTAACACACAAGAATCTGATTCGAGCGAATTTTATTGCGTAGCAGATAATAAAGGTGGAAATGCCGAAGCTAATTTTACAGTACATGTAATGCAGAAGCCAGTAGGAATGCCTTTGGGGAGCGCACAAATAGCAAGTTTGGGAGCTGCTTTGTTTTTGGTTGTGATTATTGTCTCTTTGGCTCTTCTTATTACTTTTGTTCGATTTCGCCCTGTACCTGCTTGTGAAAGTAAGACTCCAAATACCTTGGATCGAGTCGTATCTGGAAATGAAGTACATCCTGCTACAACAGACAGACCGCACGTAGCTGTATTGGCTAATAGACAAGAATCTCCCAATTATAATGATACAAAATGTAATCCTGTATCTAAGCCTCCACGGGTGAATGACATACCATATACTACAAATCATTATGAAGGAAGAGGCAGTATAGTAACTTCTGGTGGACCAGTTGTTGTTTCTCCAACAGTATCTGCGACTATTGATCCTGATCTTATCAATGATACGAGGCCGGAGAGTGTTGCTCGACCAGGAAGCGGCGAATATGCACGAGAGGCTTCCGACTCGTTGTATCCATCAGGTCTATGGGATCAAATGAAGATGAATCAGGCCAGCAATTTGTCTAGGGCTGTAAGTTCAGCTATACCTGCATATTACACAGATCGGACGCCGATTATTGAAAATTGTAGTGTGGATGGTTCACAAGAAGAACTAGGCTTCATGAGTCGTACATTTCCGCGTTCTCATGCGGTGACAACGGCGTCACCGGCATCGTCAGGCGATGGACCATATCCTCCCGATTACGGGCTACCAGTGGGCGGCGCGCGCACACTGCGAGTCTGGCAACGGGCGCCCCCAGTGCTTCCACCAGTGTCAGCGTTAAAACGCGTTCTTACCATCACCAGGCCCTCAACTGAGGAGGGTTTTCAGGATGGCTGTGCTACTGACGTTTAGATTATATACGTACTGTTTACATATCTAGATGACATGTCACCTTGTACATTTGTATTTTAAGCTAGCATTCATCTATACGTACGGTATATATAATCTATACCTACACAGGTTGTTAGTGTAATATTTTTTGTATCATATAATTTATTTAGAAAATTAAGTAATGGAATGTTACATTGGATCCAAATGTTAAGGATCTACGACTGATTAGTTGAGGAATGTAAGTGTAAAATAATACGTGATATGGAGTGGTATTGTTTATGATCGCCAAATAATTTAAATACTGAGTACGAAATATATCTCGATTGTTGAAATTCAAATAGGATGTTACACTATAATATAATTATTATTAATAACTAATGTGTGAGCAACGCTTGCACAAAAGAAATAAATAATTACCCAAAGATATACAATTCCCCCTGAAAGTAATATAAAACTATATTACTCTAATTGTATTGCACGATCAGTGTTCTTTGATGTACGATAATAAATGTGTAAATTTTATGTTTGAAAAAAATAAGAGTAATAGATAATGAAGAAAAATAAACAAGGCGATTGTGAAAATGTATGTTTTGTTTGAATCATCTCCTTTCAGTATACAATACAAGCTTTCTCCTGCGGCATTACCTATGTGAATCTTTAAGTTAGGATATAATCTGTGTATCAAATTTTGTTCAAATCTGTTCAGTTTTTGTATAAAAGAGTAACATGTATTAATCCATACTAACAACATTTCGCGTTTATATTAGTAGCGGGAAGTTGAATTTATGAAATAGGTACTCTTTATTTCGCAAATGTGGAAAAGCTACTGACTTAGCGACTGGATAAAATAAATGTAATGAGGCATTATATTTTGTATTATGAGTCACTGTTCTTAACGAGCTGATTTGTTTAATATTTAAAATATATCAAAATATTGTTTAATAACTTTTGGTTATTGTGGTGGTTTTACTAGTCTCCAAATTGGATGTCGGAACTATGAATCTAAATAAATAGGTAAGTATTTTGTTATATTGTGTACTTACTCATTTTTATATCTATTCAAACGTCAAGCATCAAAATTCAAGCGTCAAACAAAAAAAAATTTAAAAGTTTATTATCTATTTTTTGGTTATTTACTGATTTATATTCTAGGATTTTTAAAGAACAGGTAGAAATTATTATATATTAAATACAGTTTCTAATAAAAAACCGTATTTAATCTCTCTAGACATGAATTTCTTGTGTATAAATTTTATTTAATTTCGGATTTTACTTATTATACCTAAGCTCTTAAAATTTTAAATACGTTGACTATAGTCAACGTATTTAAAATTGCTATTGTAGGTATAATTTTAAATGTTATCGCTTTATATTAATATAATTTGAAATATAAGGGGTATATACATATAATATAACATTTAGAAAGAATAGATCTCTAGATAAATTTAGGTTAAATTATTGTTCGTGTATTGGAACAGGGGAAGGTTTCTGATTGAAAGTAAGCCTAGAGTCCTATTTGAACCCATAGGTACTATAACAAGGAGACGGCAAGGGTGTGGAGTCCTCAAATCAAACAGAGGTTCCGCGTGTAATTAGATTACTCAAACCCTAGAGCATATTACTTAACCATCGTCGAGAAAAAAAAATCCATAAGTTTGAAAACATTTTTTTTTTAATTTGTGTTAATATTTAATAAATCGTTATAAACAATTTCTTTTCAACTTTTATACATTGTTAAATCGCTAATTTAATGATTTCTAACTTTTTAACATTAAATACGTGGAAATTTTTTGTTCGCATGTGGTTGGAATTAAATAAAATTTAATATATCAACAAAACACTGTGCTCCTATTAAAAAAAAAAGATTTATTTTAATAAAATTCTAATAATTATTAACTAATTTAAAAGTATTTATAAAAAATTCAAAAGTACAATAATGAACATAGTATTAACATCCTCCAGGTTTCTAAATATTCCTAGCAATATTATGTAAACATTTGTAAATTATCCGAAATGAAGTCGGTTAAAAGTAATAATGAACACAAACTGTTAGCTATTGTAGTGAGAATTGAATCCACAACCAAACGATTACAACCTCAACGTCCGGACCACAAAGCCATCATGGCTAAACTCATCCATTGTAAAAAGAGCCGACAGCTTATCGACAAAAAAGGCTCAAGCTCACCTCACAACGTACCGGAGAAAAACCGGTTAGCGTTATTTCATTTCCGTTCAATTCAGTTTTTTATTAGAACCGAACCTTAAACGAGTTCAATGGAGTTCGGAGACACGGAGTGTGGAAGTTAGTTGATAAAGAAATACGAATAAGTAGACTGAACACTTAAATCCTTAAGATAAAATAATATTAGTATTATCAGTAATCTTAATGTGTAATAAGTTTTTTATTTTATTATATTGAAATATTGATGATGCTATAAAATTTATTTCGCATTGACTAAGATTTCAATATTTTATCCTTTTTATAATTTTCATTTAGAATTACGTCTATTTCATTTCTATCAGTCTTTACACATATTTACTCTACAGATGTTAATTTTAAATTCATTAGATCTAATAAGTATGGATACTTATTGGATCTTGTTTTGATGGAGTGTAATAATAATTATTTCTATTTTGAGTATCTATCTTCTAACAAATTTACTAATTGCTTACATAAAAAACATTAGTTAATAAATAAGGATAAAAGTTGAATATTGTGTGGATGTTTGAGAATATCATAATTATGTAATTCATATAAATATATATTTAGTATTATTACTTTAATTACAATAAATAAAATATTGATGATACTATAAAAAAGAAATAAAAAAAATATTTTATCTCCTATACAAAATTAATAAGTGGTTATTCAATTAAGATGTTTCATATATACATATACAATTGGAATTTCTGTTATATATAGTATATATTGTTTGTGATAAATAAGAAAAAATACTAATAAAAGAAAACGTTGAAGGAGTAAATAAAAACTCAACAACCACTACTAGTTTAGAGTGCAAAAGTAATGGCAAAAAAATTTCGTTACCTATTAAACTATAACAATGTACTTTCACTTTGTACTTTTAAGAAATTATAATACTGTTTACATTACATTAAATATTCCCAGATTCTTATTACACTATATCTTTGTTCTCTGTTTACGTTAATGAATTGTAAGTCTTTAGAGAGAAAACAACTGATAAATAAAAATTTTAAATTCTTGAATAATTGTAATGTGACAAATTCTTAGTTCTACAATTTAAAGAACTACTGAAAGTGTACTTCTATTATGAAATGCAGGTATATGTATAAATGAATAGTAACCCCAACTGCACTATCGGTATACTTTGGCGGGGTACTAATAAGTGATGTAGTGATGAAATTTGATCAGTTTCACAAAATTAATTAATCACAATGGTGTTTGTTAGACGAAACCGCATGGAAGTGGACCTGACAAGCAATGAGGATTAATCTCACCATTACTGACAATTCCTTTCCTCCAATGCTAGTACATTGATTCCATAGAGAGTATGAGGTATAATATTAAAAAATATGAATATTTAACAAAAAATTCTTTAACAGAATTACAGGATTATGATTCATTTTTAATTTCAATTATATGATATCAGAGCACATTAGTAGACAGTTAGATACCTAATTAGAAATCAAAAGTAACATTTTTAAGTAATTGTTAACTAACAATTTATTGTAAAATAATAAGCTGATTGAATAATTATTTTTCTAGGTTTAAAATGGTCACTTTGGGAAATTATATAATTACACAATTCATATTTACTATTCAGCTAAGTGATAATTTGATTGATATGATATGATTTATGATACCGTTATCTTGGTTGTAATATTAAAAGTAGTAACCATTTATGTACTATAAATGGGTACTTACTCCTTTTAATATTGAAAATGGTTTATGAACATCATAGGATAACATTGTGAAGCAAATATTCGTTGTTATTCCTGAGGATTAAGGTATTATGTTTCCGTACTTACTAATTTCACTGCCATTTCATCATATATATATATATATATATATATATATATATATATATATATATATATATATATTGATACATACAGCAGACCATGCAGACGACTTTGTAAAAAATTACGTTATAGTAAATAATATACTCCTCATACAGGAGTATATATTTATTTGTATTATTTGTATATTATAACGTTTCTTTCCAATTATAAGCGTGGGTATACAATGACATTAAATAATAACAGGGTTTTCTAATTAAGGTACATTAATTGCCAATTATTTTACAAAACTTCACTTTCCGATATAAGGTTACCTTTTTATTTTAAATTGATTTTTTTTTGCTGTAATGCAGAATAAAAATATAAAACCGGCCAGGTGCAAGATAAACTAGGTTCCATATATAAATATGAGATAAAATTACCTTGTACGTATAATATTCTAATATTTATATATAGAACCCAGTTTATTCACGTTAGTACATGTATACGAGTTCGTATACATGTACTAATGTACTATGTATGTATGAGTATACTGATTGTATTTCTTATTTGTAATAGATGTCTAATATTATTGATATGGCAATTCGGAATGTCTGTTATTTTGGGCCATTTATTTATTTATCCATTTTTTATTACAGGTATGTGTACAAGTAAACTTTAGGGAAATGTTAGAATACTGGAATGTGGTCCTAGTATTAGTTGACATATTCACATACTAAAATTTACATATATACACAAATAAATATACATATAAAAATAACAAAAATACTTACACATTTATAAGACATACTATATTATACATGAAGGTGAGAATACTAGATAATACTTGCTGGCGTAATTGTGGTTACTCTGTTTCTTGGAGGGTTTTTGATAATTTCTCAAAAACTGCGATAGAAACATCATCATTCCTCATTTCTCAGAATCAAGCTGGAAAGACCCTATTTTATTTATTTCTATAGAACTTAATGAAAAGATAATTTAGTTTCTTTTTTAATTACCACAGAAAGGCTCTTTAAAATAAATCATTGGCATTAATTAAATAATCGATGTTTTATAAATATGTTTGGATAAATTATTCGTTTGTTTACTATCTTCTATTGAAACAGAACACTTTTATCTGAGTATTTTTACCATGTATTGGCATGAGTATATTGCGGTTTGTTCATTTAGTCTTATGATACTTAAGAAATGAAACTAAATAGTAACTGTATACTATATTTATTATTTTTACTCTATTTTCACATTTAACAATTTCGAATTGTAACTCGCCTCAGCCAGGAATGAAACCAAAGGTGAAATCGACATTAAAAAATAAAATCTTATACTTTCACAATGAATAGAGTTAATTGTGAGGCAAATGAATGAAGATAGGATTTAGTTTTGGGGGTTTTTAATGGGCGTATTAAACGTATTAGATGTATGTCTTTTATGTATCGTAGTATGGCATGATATCATACGATTTTATCGTTACGATGTAAGACGAGTGTAAAATGTATGTAATTGTATAAAGACGTTTTTAAATTTTTGTGCAGTGCACAATAGAGTCACGGAAAATAAAAGCGTCTTTAAACAATTGCAATTAATTTTCTTTCCTATTACATGGCTGCAAAGCTTTGAAGGCTATTAGACAGCAGTTATTTAAAAAAAACTAATTTAAGAAACAAATTGTGTTAAGTTAATTACAAAATTTAGTTGCACAATATTGGGACCGTGATATTTGACTTTAAAATTCTACAATTATATCATTAAATATAAGCATACTTAAATAGAAAATCTGTTTGCAATATCGGAACCAATAAAAAAATGGAAATTATTGAAAATTGTGAAAGAAATGTTATCAAAACGGTATAATTTTAATCATTTAAAATAATTGGAATGAATGAATAGTAGGAGTTGCGACTATGACGATATTACACTACAGTTAGACATGATTTCGATATGTGTTTATAGTATGTATGAAATTAAAATAAATCCGCATGTATGTTTCAAGGTAGACTTTGAACGAGCCTGCGGTGGATACATATGATCTGTGATTACACTTGCTTTATGTTATACTGTAATAGATAGGTACATAAGTTTAATGATTATAATGGTGGAGTTCAAAAAGCTATTTGAAATGTGAGTTTAGAACACGCACTTTCTTTATCATGTCTTAGGTTAGGGTACTTACTATTTGAGTTACGGTTTTACTAGGTCCGTTCTGATATTATCAATCACTTGTCAAATCCAGTAATTGACAAGTACTCGTGAAAAGATGACACCTTTGGGACTTTCATCGTTTTAAAAATATTTTTCGTAATCAGTGTCTGTTACTTTGCCTCATTAAAATAGAGAGACTTATTACCAAGATCCCTTGTGTTGGTAGTATATATATATATATATATATATATATATATATATATATATATATATATATATATATATATATATATATATATTCTTTATATTAATTAATAAAAAAGGATATTTTCCATATCATTAGTGACAAGGATAATTTTAATTTGATATTATGTGGCCTATATTAGACTACATAAAAATAAAAAGGAAAATTTTAATTAAAAATGTATCTAATAAATTGGATTTAGAACGTGTACATTACGTACATAATGTATATATGTTGTGCGTAATGTTGTGTATAACCAATATTGGCAATTTGCGTTATTATTTATTAATTGGTAATTGGTAAGGTTATATACCTCCTATAACAATGTTACAGTTAATAGAATATTTTTCTACGTATTATGTTCTGGTGTAGGGATATATAAAAATTAAAACAATTAGATATAGGCGGGTACTTAAAAAAATATTACCTGCGTAGAGCACTTTTCTCCCTTGAAATCCATAAGTCGAGTGGGCCCAATGGTATTCCTCCAATTGTGCTTAGGACGTGCGCACCAGAGTTGGCTCCAGTTCTTACGAATCGTTTTCGGCTCTGCTACTCATCGAGCATAGTCCCAAAGTTTTGGGCGATTGCTCTGGTATATCCGATCCCTAAAAAGGGAGATCGTTCGGATCCAGCTAACTATTGGCCCATAGCTATCACTTCCTTATTCTCGAAGGTTATGGAATCCATCATTAACCATCAACTGCTGCAGTACCTAGAAGACCACCGGCTGATCTGTGATCGCCAGTACGGCTTTTGACAACGATGTTCGGCCGGTGATCTTTTAGCTTACTTAACACACCGATGGACAGTGGTAATCGAGAATAAGGGAGAGGCTTTAGCTGTTAGTCTAGGTATTACGAAAGCCTTTGATCGGGTGTGGCATAGAGCGCCGATTTCGAAACTACTCTCGTTTGGGCTGCCTGCAAAGTTGTGAATTGGTTCGCCAGCTTTTTAAGGAACGTAGCATTTTCATTCTTTTATCTCTTTTACTGTGTATTATGTGTATGTTTATATTGTAATTTGTGTGCAGTAATGTAAATAATCTATCTATCTGTCATTAAGATTGTAGCGACGGAGCATACTCTGATTTAAAACCTGCGAATACTGGTGTCCCGTAAGGCCGTGTACTATCTCCGACCCTGTTTCTTCTGCATATTAATGATATATTACAGATCAGTAATATTCATTGCTATGCAGATAACAGTACAGGAGATACATTATACATCGATCAGAGTAGTCCGATTCAGAGTGAGACAGTATTTCACGTTGAAACACCGCCTGAAATTGTATAAAGTTTAAGTCAGGCCGCATACGGAATACTGTTCTCACGTATGGGTAGGAGCGCCACAGTATCAGCTCCTTCCGTTAGACCGCATTCAAAGTCGTGCGGCTCGAATTATTGAAAAATTACAAGTATTTTAAATAATATTTTACAGTCGCTATAATGAAGTTTATCAAGAAGTCACAATATAAACAGTAAATTACCTAGTTGAGTTGTAAATGGTATGATATGGTAAATGATTCTTATATAATTTATTAATAATTTAAATTTCCAAAAATATTTTTAAATTAAATTTATATATTATATAAATTTATAATATTTGCCATTGTCTATATAGTATCAATTACTTGTCTATTTTAACTTACTTATTTCACTAGGTATAAAATATAACTATACCTAAATCACTAGGTATCTTGTAGACATTGTAAAAAATTTTTTTTTTACTTCACCTATTTCTTTGTTTACGATAAATACCTAGCTATATTTCAGTTTTCAATTTTTCTAGAAAAAAATATTTAAATTATATAAGAGATCGCATTAAAATCTTTTGAGTAATTTTAAAATCTTAGCAAATAATAATATATCTGTACACAGAGAGACGAACGTGACACCGCAGTGGGCGACAATCTTTTATTAGACGTAAATACAACTTAAAGATAATAATAGTCACATATTTAATAACATTGCAATATTTATTTCGAATACCTATTGTAAAACTATGTTTTTTTTTTTAAATATTAAGAACAAGCGCGAATTCATTTTTTTAATAATGTGTTACATGTAACTATTAAGACCCGGTCATGGGAACGAAGTGGCGGTTTTACCCGTGTTTTTGTCCGCGTGACCAGGATATGTTTAATAACCGGAATAAAGTTGTAAAGTTAAAAAGTTGCCTATAACCATCTTCATCTCTTATATCATTATTATCATCCTGTAAACCAAATTTCATAATGATTGGTTAAGTCGTTAAGACGCTATAAGGTAACAAAAAACAAACAAACTCACTTTCACATTGTTTCATATTATATTAGTAAGGATTAACTTTGTGCCCGCTACTTCGTACATGTGGATTTCAGGAATCGGAAAACAAATGAAATAATTTTGTGCAGACTACTGCACAAAATTATTAAACTATTTTGAGTGATATTGAAATAAATATGCAACCAGACATTGGCTTCTATTCCTCTTATTAAGATTTCACATATTAATTTTTCTTAATTATCTTCCATATACAGATATCAATTAATAACAATTTTTAACTGACTTCGAAAAGAAAGAGGTTCTCAACTCGATTGTTTATTTTTTATAATGTTTGTTGCTTGATGAGTCTGTGAGTTGTAAATAGATTTCGAAATTTTTTCTTTTATTTCAATAGTATACTTATTATATTATATTAGTAACAGTAAGATAAAATATGAAAATTATGCATGAATCTATTTACTTTATATACTCCAATGGGAATATTGACACACATATATTGTCATTTTCATTCCCATCTTTTTTTCCACCTGTTTTGTTGTCGCCAAGCAGCTTATATGTCTCTGTTTGAAAGATGCAAAATATAATAATGAAATGGCGGCATAACACCTTAGTTACCTTTGTCTATCGGATGGGTCATCTGTTTGTTGAACCTGAATACGCCCATGCAATTAATCTGTATACACTAAGACTATAAACCTGTATGGAATTCAGGTCGTGTTATTGTACAAATGTTATTTGGATTCCAGTAAGTAATAGATTTTGCTCCACAAAAAAACACAGACTGCAATAGTGACAAAACTTAATTAATAGGCATAATTACATCTATGAACTATTTTGATTTAAAAACCAACTACTGGCAAAAAAATACAACTGATTTAATAACTTCTGCCTTTTTTTAAATTGGTTAATCAAGCTTTTTCTAAATATTTTTTAAATGTTAATAATTTTGAATTGATATTATTGAAATTTACATTTGTTTACTGAAAAAAAAACTAAACTTTTTTCTAGGACATGGTAAAAGAAGATTTCAGTTAATAACAATCTTTTCGGATACCAGGACTAAAAATAGCGGAATAACTAAAAACACTTTTTTGCGAGACTCTGTCGTGTTTATAGAATTATACAGAAATATAAAAACTTTAATCTCAAATATTATAATATAAATGTTACAAGATCTATTACGGATATTAAAAAGGCGTGACTATTTGAATAAATAGATTTATCTAAATATGGTTTTCTATAAATTATTATAGTGTATACTGAGTGTGTATATAAATACGTGTATTGAACGTCTATCACAATAATAAGGAATTGAAAGAATAAAGGTTCTTTTATTTGATTTATTATACACATTCAGACAGTAATTTTGAATTACACGTCGATGTAAGTGTATGATTGATAGCTATCTATACTTATATATAACAGTTATTTGTGGTTAGTATTTGCGTAGGTAGGTAAATATCTACACTTACGTAAGCACCACAGATAACTGTTTTGCTTGTTCAACATTAAAAATATAAGCATACCATCATAATGGAATGGTGATAATAAATACGCAGACCCACGAAGGCTGTGCACAATTGAAAATATTCCGTCGAACAATCAAGATAGCCCGCCCATTGTTAGTCACGCTACGCGAAAACATTGTTGTCAGCTGAAACCTCCGTCTACTGAGAGGAAAGTGTAAAACATTTATTTACGTTCAATAAACGTCAATATCAACAATATTCATTTTAAATTATGAAACAACGTTTTATGATTATAATTTGGTTTCATTGAAGAAGAATTCATTTCATGAGTCAAAACATATTGCACAATGACAGGACTTACAAGCAGTAGCTAAAGGTAACAGATTCTGTATTTTTAATAACTACATTAATTAAGATTATTTTATTTCTGATAATAATTAAACAAATTTTAGTTCTTTAGATGTTGCCTATAAATTTTACATTATAATATTTGGAGTTTAGATAATACGTAATAATATTATCTCAGACTTGCATACCCAAGGTGCTTTCTATGACATAACTAGATCTCGCTTATCTATAAAATAAAGCTTTATATTATAACATGGTTGGGATATTATTTATATTGAAATATACCTACTTGAGCGTGAAAGTTAAAGAAAATATTTTTTCTGCAACAGAATATTGTGTAGATGTGGATCGCAGATATTTTATAACATGAGGTACTTATGTTGTACGAGGACGAGCATACATATCAACTACCTACGCTTTTACATGCAATAACATTCAAAAGAGATAAAGAGCAACGACGGAAAATATGTATAAAGACTTGTCATAATTGCCTTTATTAGGTATTATATCTCTAGACCTATTCTATTTATGCAAGCAGAAGTGTAGGAAGACCCTGAGTGTGTATGGTATTTATATCACAGTGTTTTACCTTGCATAATACAACAAAAGTGTTACAATATAAAATTTATAGAGAATATTTTTTATTTGCACTACTATGTTACGCATCTGCAATACTGTTATCTTTAACGCATATATAGTATAACAGCGATATTGTTATTTTTAACGCATGTATGCGTATTATTGCATATATCATAGAGAGTTGGTATGAGTGCAAAAAGGCGGCCTTTTCGCACAGAGCAATATTTTTAAGAAAACCTTTGGGTAACGGAGCCAATGATGGTAACAGATATGCAAAATAATGAAATGAATAAAAACATATAGAAAAGAATTTTGTATTCAAATACGAAATGTACGAAATAATCTATACATAGGTCGATTAATGCATTATAGCTCTAATGATGCTTGTAAAAGTTTTATATTTCGATAGTAAGAATAGTAAAGAAGTAATCATAAAATTTTGAAAAATGAAAGGATGAGTATATATTAGAATTATAAGAGAATATATTAGAGAAGTGAAGTAGTAGTTCATGTATGGAGTAATATACTAAGTTTAAGAAAACTATGAATTTTGCTAGGTGCTATCTAGATGTTATTGATTTATATTAATGTATACTGTTATAATTTAATAAACAAACTGATGTGGCGGTGGATCATTTTATAAAAAGTTTTACCTGACACTTGTATTTCACTACGAGCAGTACTATGAACTTCATAGATTATAATGCGACGTTGACAACCATATCCGGTGCTTGTATGTTGCCGCTCCTGAGGATTGCTATCTTATGTTGGTAATTTCTCCAGCATTCATATTTTTATGACTATGACAAGTAATTTTAAAATATTACAAAAATTGGTTCTATTATTTATTCTATCTCTATTTAATTAATGTAGGTGGTAGATAAATCCAGTTGGGACGGTCTAAGGTTAATCTTAAATCGAAAAATAAAATAAAATTAAACTATACCATTAAAAATAAAGTTATTTTTGGTAGGAAAAAAATAGGAGGAGACTTTGTTTGAAATCTTAATAGTTATTTATTTTCTTTATTTATTTAAATGCTTTTGTACATTTATTTTTAATATAGTTTCTTTACCTATTGATAAAATTTGGCAGACAGATTCTTTTAAGAGACGAAGAAAGGCTTTCTTATAATTCCTAAGGGAGTAGAAGACAATGGAATTTGCGCAGTTGATTTCACAGGAAACAGTTGTAGATAAAGTTTCAAGTTTTACATTTCAATATTTACAATAGGCATAATAAACTTCAAGGTTTTCATGTCATTAAAATTAAAATCTGGTTTTATTATACTTATAACTGCTCTCTTGGTTGTGTTTGTAATTTTATAAATGCTATGCTTATTAAGGTATTATAATGTAAAAATCAATAGTTTATAGGAATAAATAATTCTTTATTTTTGGTTGTTTGAGACCTCTTGGCGTCTTAACATCTCACACAATTATCATGAATTTTGGCATTTCATAGTATTTGGAATAGAGGAGGATGATATCTTAAAAGAAAAATACTTGCAATTTTGTATGGCCAATATGTTAACAAGCTATGTGCGCGTGGTTGTTTATTTTTTGTTACTTTTTAGATTATGCAGTTCACGCAGACGAAGTTCCAGGATTAGTGACTAACATATAAAAGCGAAGGTATTTTGAGTCTTACCTATTAAAATATAGAACGAAATACATTATCAATATATCTTGTTAGCTTTAACAGTGTATAATACAATAGAGTGTAGTTAATATCTCCATATGATTTGGTCTAGAATGAAAAAGTGGCATATTCAACAAAATATTCGTCTTGATGTCTTGATTGTGTCCTAAATAAGTTAATTTATGACTGTGTTCCATGATTAATTATACTGAAATAGAGTTTATTTGGGACAAAGCTTTTTATTTCAGAAAAAAATGTTTTCTGAAATAAAAAGCTTTGTCCTGAAAATAAAGAAGTGAAATAATTCAAGAAGTATAATGACTTACATTTATTTTCAACTTATTGATTGATAGATGATTGATATGGAGTTTCTAAAGCAAGGTTAGGTGAGGAGCATTTTAAAACAGTTTTTTAATATAACCTTTTGATATTTTATTTTAAAAATGACCTACTAAGTTGAAACTCTAACAGGTAATTAAAATTCGTTGTGTCTGCGCATATATACCAAAAACGTGCTTAAGATATAAAATTATTAATACCGGGAGGCGACGATTTAATACAGGGAGCGTATGATAATTAACTGGTTAGAAAAAGACAGAATGGTGCGTCTCTTTGTTTAGTTAAAAATTGTAGTTTTTAATAATTACAAATTTAATTATTCAATACTTCTAAATTTTGAGTTGAGTCACTTGGATTTTAAATTATTTAGAAAGGATCGATTTTCTGAATTATTTAGTAGAGTTGGAAATTTTATTTTAAATTAATTAATTTAATAAAGAAATATTTATATATTATAGTTTTTTTTATTATAGGAAAGTTCTGATTATTGTTGGAAATTTTATAATGGAACTGGTACAAATTTATTAAATATTCGTTTTACCTTATATTGTCATAATTGAAATATATATATTATTGAATAAAATTGTTACTAGATGCTCTTTATACATGCATATTTATTTAACAAAAAATAATATGAGAACTCCTAATTAAGGTAATAGGAGCAAAACAATAATGTTTAGAATTTTATCTCTCTACCTGTTTAACTGTTGTCTGTCTGTATGTTTGTGCCGGCATCATGTAAAAATTACTACGCGAAATTAGACTGTTCATAGTGTCGCAGTCGTATTATTTATAATTTTACTCAAAATATGTTTGAAAATAAATGTTTCATCTTACAATTAGTATGTTATCTAGAAGTGATTATCTCCTTCCATTTCATTACTTTACCATTTCTTTGATAAACTTATACACAGACTTGCTCAGTAAAGTTGTATTATGCGGAATCAAACCTGCAATTATTGGAGGTAAGACAATGTGTTAAGTTGCTACACTAGTAAGACCTTAATTTCGATAACAAGATAGGTTATTTAAGTCAACAGTAAAGAGGTTCGTTTATATACAATTTAAAGGATTATGTGAATGTAATGCTATTTTTTAATGCTGTTTGTAGTATCGACAAGTTATAAGCAAGCGAGGTTCTCGAGAGGCAACTTCTTACAGGCAAATGCTATCTAGGAAGATCCTCTTGACTTGAATGTGTGATAGTCAAGGGACTCGGCTGCTCATGATTGCTTCTTATGGTACTTTTTCGCTTTTAGAACGTTTCATAAAACTGTTCTTAAGACTGTGTCCAGTAGTAAAATAGCTGAATTAATGATGATAATGCTATCGATTGAGATCACTAGCTGTTTATGCAAATGACTTGGAATTCAAATAAGATAATAATTCTATATAGAAGGAAAGTAGTCTTTATTGTTTATACATAGATATGAACAATAGAATGGATATTAAAATCACCCAAAACACTTTCATTTACATCTCTTTCAAAGGTCGGCTGTATACTTATTTTGATAACATAGAGGGTAAATGAGCATACGGCTCGTCTGATGTTAAGTGATTACCGCCGTTCATAGGCACCTGTAACATCAGAGAAATTGCCTTTAAGGGAGGAATATTATATGAAAATTTTAATGTTGTATCTGTTCGGAAATAGTGCATTTTACCGTGCATTCAAGTAGACTTGTTTGTACTTTACCGTATATATCAGGCCACACATATCAAATAACGAGGATGGGATGCTGAACAAAGACATCTTCAAATAAAAAAAATACACTTGTCATATCTATGATATAGCTATATATTGAATGATACCTATACTGTATGTTGTTTATTAAATGTCGCATCAAAATAGTTGGAAACCTTATAAATTTAATCATGTATGGCTTATTATGCATTTCTGGGGACTACGGTGTGTAGTTTCGCTGTTTGTATTGTTTTTTTTTATTAATGCATTGCAGGGAGTCAGTGAATACAGACGGCTCAGGATCGTTCCTTATGGCAGTCTATGGGGGAGACCTATATCCAGCAGTGGACGGAGTCCAGTACCTGTTATTATTGCATAAAACAATAACAGTAATAACAGATATTATGTTTGTCCTGTTATAACCCACGCTAATATTACTTATAGTAATGTGTTTAACCAATATGATTATTAATGAGTATCATTATGATATCACTGTTCGAAATGCATGGTTGTGTTTCGGTTTGAAGAGTGGGATATGGCGTGAATTTACTGGGTACAGAGGAATAACACCTGAGTCCTCAGGAATGGCAGCGCATGGGGGGTATCATGGGCGAAACAGTATAATCTGTTATGTCCATGGTACTGCTCATGTCTATAGGCGACGGTTACCACTTTCCATCAGGTGGGCCGTCAACTTGTTTGCCTTCTAAGTTGTATAAAAAAAAAAAAAAAAAAAAAAAAAAAAATTAGATTAAGGGAAATAAACTTTAATCCGCCAAAAGTATTTTATATTTTGTTACACAAAAATAAACTTCCATTTTGTCAATATAATTAAGAGGCTACGAGAGGATATTTTTTGTTACAAAAGTATTATCAAAATCTTTTCATATTTTGTAAACAAAACATACACAATATACACATTAAAAAAATCAAATTGATAACTTTTTTCTTTTGAAATCGGTTGAAAACAAAACAAAGTTTTTTTTTTTTATACAACTTAGAATGGCAAACAAGCTGACGGCCCACCTGATGGAAAGTGGTAACCGTCGCCTATAGACATGAGCAGCACCATGAACATAACAGAGCACACCGTTTCGCTCATGATACCCCCCTGCGTTGCCATTCCTGAGGACTCAGATGTTATTCCTCTGTACCCTGTAAATTCACGCCATATCCCACCCTTCAAACCGAAACACAGCTATGCAAACACAACTGCTTCATGGTTGAAACACGAATGGGACAGAGGTACCCATGCAATCGACTTTTGTACAAAGTCTCCCTCTGGTTTTAAGTGTTTTAACCGTTATTAAAAGTTCTTTTGACTATTTTTTTAGGAAATCCTATTAATATTATAAATATGAAATTTTGTAACGATGATGGACGAATGTTTGTTACACTTTTTTTAATACCACGAAGGCGGCAAGCAAGCATACAATCCGTCTGATGGTAAACGGTTAATGTAGCCTATGTACACGCACGTTGCCAACTTTGAAGAAACCTTAATATTATACCCTTTTTGAAGAACAAAGGCACTTAAGGCAAGGACCTCATTCCCATGAACACTTAGGTTATAGAATGAGGTCCCTGCCGAGGTTTTCCCAAGAGACTACAGCATGGGTTTCTTTAAAAGGGAGGTAAAGAGGTTTCTTCAGGGTCAACGACGCGTGCGTAATACCTCTGGTATTGCAGGCGTTCATAGGCTACGGTAACCGCTTACCATCAGGTGGGCCTTATGCTTGTTTGCCACTTTAGTGGTATAAAAAAACCTGAGCGTTCGTGAGAGAATTTTTTTGAAATTGCACTGTTAGTGTCGATGGTAAGTTTTGCGATGATAAAAAGTAACTGTAGGCATCATTTTAAACAATTCTTTAGAACTCAATCTGTTGTTATACGAGCGGTAGAACATTCAAACGGAGGCAAAGTATGGCCATAGATTTAAAAGCTCGACACCACCAACTTGGGATCGTTGACTAGATATCCTAATTTTACACAAAGGACACTTTATGTATTTACTGATTCACACGAGCTAAGCCGGACGATATAGCTAGTCTATATCTATACTAATATTATAGAGGAAAGATTTGATTTCTTATTTGTAGTGAATAAACTCAAAAACTATTTAACCGAATTTAAAATTTCTTTCATCTATAGGAAGCTACATTATCAGCGAGTAATATAAGTTATATTATTATTTTTGAATATTCTATCTATCCATGCGAAGACGGACTGAATCACTAGTGTCATCCAATTTTATAATGACAAAAGGCGATAAAATTTTCGAAGTCATGGTTATCAATGCAAATATGTGGTTTTGTGGATCATGTGATTGATAATTGAATTAATGGTTAATTCCGTCGAGCAAATCGTTTCCCAAAGCAATTTGGTAAATCGGTCGGGAGCCACGTCGACCTAAACTGATGAGCGTTATTGCACACTCATATATTTTGCTTTGTGCCGGATCCAACGAAATGTGTAATCTCCTCATGGGCCACTTCCAATAGCCAGGACGGTGTTCTAATATTTATGGACAAACGAGGTAATTAGTTATAGTGATTAATATTAGAAAGTAACGTAATGATTGTCAAACTATCTTAATTATACTAGCTTTAGAAATATTATTAAAATAACAAAACCTTATTCACAGGAATATGATTTACGTATGTTAATATTTTCTGTATTAATTTGTAATTATGTAGTATGTGGTAAATTTCCAAGTGTCTAATCATAAATAAAAATGTTTATTTGTTGTAATGATCAATATTTTGTATTAACATACAGGATATTGAGGATCAATTTTTAGCACAAAATTGAGCTCAAGCCTGATTGACTCTGGTTAGATTTTAATTTGTAATTCTTTTATAAATTTATTATTGATAGTGCTATTTTCAGAAGATAGTATTTTTTCATAAAGGTTTTGTAAAATTAAATAAAGTAGTTCAGTAGTGGTAGGTTTGGTATTTATATAAGTTGAGGTACTCCCCGTGCCGTGTTATAATATTATAATGTAATAGTTCTTCGGAGGTCTTATTATGCTTTTCGAGATAATATCAAAGTTGACTGGACGAAACTTTAAGTATTCGCCCTAAAACTAGTAATAATATATGAAATAATAAAGGAAGGGAAGTAAATTATAGAGATTGTCTCTAAATTCGGCCGAAACTTTTCAAATTTGAAGTGTTTTTACACTTTATATCGTTATACGAAAACATCACAAGAAATTTTAAATTTATATAGCAAAAGTCGCATAATTTATAGTAAACATATATAAGTGTATATAAAGTTCCGTGAAAAAAGTATTTTGAGAAATATATTTTTTCCTGTTCTTATTAACTTGCTAACCATGTATGTAATAAATGTATACCATTAAAGTAAGCTTCCACCTGCATTCTTCGGCTTCTCTCAAGCATAATCTTTATCTTCATTATTCTAGGAATTTCGGGAAATCCTTTACTATAACTCCATACGTTATATCCATGTTAGATAAAAATTAATGTGTAAAATAGTATTAGATATCTTCAGATCAAATAGAATCGGTGTATGTCGATTATTTAGCTTCTCCAAAGAAAGATTAATATATATGAATACTTAAGTTGGAAAGATTATTAAATAAAATTATTAATATTTTATCTTCAAAAAATATTAGTTCTTTTATATCTATTATTATTACGAAGAGGAAAGATTTGTTTGTTTATAATGGATAAATTAAAGAACTTTCTCAAATTTCTAGAAGTTTCAAAGTTCAAACGAGAATTTAAAAAAATCCATTTATCCGTGCGAAGCCGGGGTGGATCGCTAGTTAGTCATAAAGATGCACAATACCAACCATTTGTATATACAAGGCAAACAAGTTATTGAATTTTTTGGCTAAAATTACACCCGTAAAAGAAAATCCCAAAAAATTAAAAATCCAACAGATATATAACGCTTTAAATTAAATGAAACATAACCATGAAAAAAATATATATCAGCGTTCATAAAAATGCTATCCAACAGTTTTTAAAGTTACAATTTAATAGACAAATTGATAACGGAGTGGCACTAAACCTTCATTCAGAGGCATAAAAAAGCATGTTCAAATTGTTTTTGCACTAGTATTATTTGTTCCAATTCGAGAGATAGAATAATTTTCATAAAAGATAAGAAAAAATTATTCCTGTTAGGAATGGTGTATTATAAATGTGGAAGCGAGTTTATATACGAGTATTATATATCTCTTGGCGTCTCCGAAGCTTAATTAATTGTCATTAAATTTAGCATACACGTAGTGTTTGGATGGGGAAGTAGATTACTTTTATCTAGATTAGTTAATATTTTCTTATGATGTGGACGATTACAAACTGTTACTAAAGTGAAAGTTTGTTATGACGTGTGATAATTTAGATATTAGTAAATTATTTATGCTTGATTACCTAGACCGATTTTAGTGAAAAAAGACGCATAGGCAGACCATATTATAAATAAAAAAAATATAATGTACTTTCTACCCTACTACGCCAATCTTGCGGACGTTAGAAAGAAAATGTAACTACTATACTCTTATACATATATGTATATTCATGTGCTCTATCATAATTTCTAAAATACTTATAATTCAACAAATGAGATATCGTTGGAGCCGTTTTGATCGTCCATTAGTTTTAAGCTCTAGACCATATATAGTCATGAACTATGACTATATGTTGGGTATCAAATGAAAGAGCTTAATTATGAATTAATAATAAGTACATTTCAAATTTTTGTGTGGTTCTGGCATAGAATGGGCCACCTCTTCCTTTCTCGTAGGTATTGAAATAGGCGACTAAATAAACTTAATGGACGAGGGATAGGTAGCAACGTCGTTTTAAAACATCACTGTCAAGTGTATGGGGGAGCTTACCCTTATGGGGGAAGCCTATGTTCAGCAGTGGACGGTTAAAAATCGATGTAGTAATGATATATGTATAATAATATAGCCCATTAATTGTTAGAAAAAGATGATACAAAAATACATTTCAGTATCGTGATGAACGAGGACAAGCACTTTGATACTTAAGTCGGCCGGGTCAAATGTATTGTAATTCTTAGTTATTAATTTAATATTGAAAATTTATTTTTTAAATTATTATTGACTAGCTTTTTTCCCGCTATTTCGTGCTTGTGGATTTTAGAAGTAGAGAAACCAATAATAATTTTAGATGGTTGTATTAAGATAAAAAACAAATCTGTTTAAGTTAGATCTTCAGAAGCATAGCTGCGAAAATTGTAGCAAATTATTGTTTAAGCGTCTATTGCTTTTATTAAAATACTGCATATAATTTTTTTTTTTAACAATCTCCCATCGTCTTGATACATTTAATAAATTAGTAAGGTTATAAAATTATGTATTTCCCCTAGACTGCTTTCAGAATGTACCATAGGTACCATATGTATATCAGAGGGAGACTTTGTACAAAAGTCGATTGCTTGGGTACCTCTGTACCATTCGTGTTTCAACCGCGAAGCAGTTGTGTTTGCATGGCTGTGTTTCGGTTTGAAGGGTGGGATATGGCGTGAAT